GGGGCACTGGTGGCCTTGGCAGTGCTGGGAATGGTTGGACTCAGTGAACTTGGAGGACTTTTCCAGCCTAAACAATTCCATGATTCCATTAACAGAGACATTTAGAACCCCAGCACAGCTCTTTGGCACATCAGATGCTCAGTGTTTTCAGGCATGTGACACCATGCATTTGGTTGCTTTATTTGGATTTATTTGATTCTAATGTTGATATTTAACCAAGGTATGTAATTCAGCTTCTTTTTGTTGTTTTGTGATTTTTTTTTTCCAACAGATGTGGGAAGAGGCCATTGCCTTGGGTAAAGAACTTGCAGAACAGTATGAAAATGAAATGTTTGATTATGAACAACTCAGTGAACTGCTGGTAGGTTTTTTTAATGACATAGACTCTGCAATAATTTATTTCAAAGTTGAATTTCTAAGCTTTTAAAATTACATAAAAATACTAGAGCAATGACAGGAAAATGCAGAAATAAATACCCACCATGGCTTTGTTGGACCAGTGTCAATTAACTGGCTACCGCTGGATTGTCTGAAAAACATTGAATTTATTTTTTTTTTAGCTGAAAGAAAAACATTTCAGTAATGTTAAGCTGATTTATTTAGGGTATAAAAGGAAATTTTGAATTTAAATATAAATGGGAACATGAAAAAAAATCCCCATTCTCTCTCAAGTGTCTTTCTATGTGCACGTTTCTTTTTTTAGGTATGAATAATCCCAAGCATTCATGTCTCCAGTCAGTTATTTTTGCCCTGACGTTACCCATTCATTACTCCTGCACCATTTTTTTCCTTCCAAAGAGATAAATGGCAGCTGTCACTGTCCCTCCTCAGGTCCCAACCATTTCCACCAGAGCTGAGATGTGATTCCAGATTGGTTCTGAAAATTCTCCACTCTAAAGTTTTTGATACCTTTTGCTTTTGCACTCAGAGTACATTTTCCTTAATTTCTCTGAATTATTTATCTGCTTTCTTTATCCCAGTGTGTCTGAGCTGGCCATTCCTGCAGTGTTGAACTCAGCTGCACACAGCTCCTGGTGGGGTGGGCACAGAATATTCTTCATTTCAGTATGAAAGGAATTGGGCAGGATTGTTCCTCAGCTAGAAATGACTGTCAGATGTGATTATTCACCAGGGAGTGGCTACTCTGAGTCCCTCAGTTTTGATTTTCCATCTCCTTTTTGCTTGCACATGGGAGCCTGAGCAGGTCTGTCACAGAGGCAGCCACTCTTTAATTATCCTACTGGATCCATTCTGGAGGAGAAGTTGGAATTTGCATTTTATTCATTGCAGCCAATGGTCACAGAGTGATGGAATGATTTGGGTTGGGAAGACCTTAAAGCTCATCCAATTCCACCCACTTTGCCATGGGCAGGGACACCTTCCACTATCCCAGATTGCTCCAAGCCCCATCCAACCTGGCCTTGGATATTTCCATGGAGTTTCTCCCTCTTCTAAGAAGCAAGACCCAGAATTTCCAATCCTCACATCAGAAATTGAGTTTATGTGCTCTTTGTTCATCAGCCAGGAGATGAGATGTCACAGAATTAGTCCTGGTGTTCATTTGCCTCACAAGACAGAGATCAAAATTCACTCTCCCATATGAGCCAGGTCTCACATACCCCATTAGCTTTTCTTTTTCTCCCACAATAAAATTTAGAAGTTTTTTGTTCTTTCTCTTCTCCCTCTTGTCTCTTTACTGCAGGCAATATTAAATATTAGCCTCTAAGACAATCCACAAAGGACAAAACAGTTTTGCTCCAGACAAGCTGAGAAGTTCTCGGCAGATCTGGGTCTTTGTAGTCTTGGTGCCATTTCCTGTTATCTGTCATGTGGGAGAAGCACTAAAACTCCCCCCTGATCAAAAGTCATTCTCTTTGCAGAAATAATAGACTAAAAATAAGTTAATGAGCAGATCTTCTGAAGGTGCTCATTTGCTATTATTTCATCATTAGAGATAAAGAAGAAGTCGGTGTCGAAAGCAGATGGCGTCTGACATGCGTGTGTTTATTCCAAAATTTACATTTTCCTGCAATTCTCAACTGCCTGCTTTCCATATGCAAATTCATGCTTGTAAATATGGAAGAGGAGTAGTAGAAGAATGTAATGAGATGTAGGAGCCCAAAACTGCCAAGTCAGCACCATTGGGATGAGCTGTGTGCAGCTTCATCCTTCCGGTGTTTCAGCCTTGGAAGTGTCACGACTGGAATTTCAGATTGCCTTGCAAATTCCTGGCCTTCACTCCAGTGAAATACTGGATGTGAAGCAGTGAGGTTCACCAAGATGAGGGCC